ATTTATAGATCCAGACCTAAAAGAAGAACCCACAAAATCTATAAGTGTATTAATGCTGAAAAAAAAAATGTATTTGAAACTTCTGAGCTCTCGTTCGTTATGCATAAGAAAGTTAAAAATACATGCATGGCAAAGTGACTGGTGTGATGTTGTGGAAAACGTACCTTGACGCTCTCTTGTGCAGAATGCAAGGGCTTCCAAGGACAGTGAGCAAGAGAAAGTCAAAGAGAGGGAGAAGCCGACAGTGAGCGCACATCAGAGGACAAGCCTTTTAACATCTGGTTAAGGACTGCCAAACACCCAGAGGCAGACTAATTATTAGAACACTCTTACTTAACTTAACCTCGTCGCCAGACCGTGACGACAGAGGGAGATGGGAAGCAGGGGTGCATTTTGCAAGGATGACAAGGTTTAACTGCTGGGAGGTTGAAGCAGTTTAACTCCTCAGGCACCAGAGCTAAGCAACGTTAGGCCAGTGTTCCTAGGAATTTAGCCTGTTAACACAACTTCATGACCGTCTTGCAAAGAGGTTGGTAAAGACATGGATATGGATGGAATTGCACATTATTTCAGAAATAGCAGGAAAGACGACTACACCAAAAATTAGGTTATTAACAAACAATGCCAAATCTTCAAAAAGTTTCAGTTTCATATACCTTTGTAAGACGGGGTAGCAGCAGACAAGACCTTTCTCAACAGCACGCCTGGGAAAACATGCTGATTTGTAAGACCTGAGGGTTCAGTTCCCAGATATGATACTGTCTCACTTCTACGCAACTCCTTCCAAAAACTTTCAACTATCTTTAAAAGAAAAGCAAACATCGCTTGCCCTGTTGAAGACATCTGCTCTTTGAAAAAGACAACATGTTTAAACAGCTGTCGGAACACACTGTTCTTTTGAACGTTTTCGACGAAACTCAAAAATAACCTAACTGTCCCTGTAATAGATATCCTTCTGCGCGGCGATTAAGAAACATAGACGGAGAGGAAAAAAGACAGCGAGACAGACAGACCTGGTGTTCAGCATTCCCCGGACCAATAATGGGTAGAACCTGAGCGATGTGTTAAATCAATTGTTAATCTCAGTTCTAATGCCAAAGACGCCAGTTTCTCAAGTGCCCAGTTAACCAGTCACTGGCCACTCCTGGGTTAAAGCCAATCCCAGTGCCCGTAAATCAGGGGAATTTATGAAGACAGTCTGAAATGGCTCGCAGGTAGGTCACGGCAGGAAGGAAGCCCGTGTGTCCATGTTTTGTTGTTTTAAGGATTTTTTTTTTATTTCAGCTGTTCAGGAAGGAAGCCGGGGTCTGCGTTTTGACTCAAACATTGCTGATTACTCATCCTTTGCTTTTTATCTCTCATTTTATCTCCATCACACATCCCCACTTTTTGTTTTTCGCAGTCCAGTTCGGTTGTGTGGTCTTAAGCTTCAACAAACTGAACAAACTCTTTGAAAAGACAACCTTAGCTGGTGACCCTCTCTCAGCTCAAAACTTTATTTTCCCTTCTTGTAATGTGCATCGAAGAAACCCCAGGCATACAATCTGCAGCTATTGCATTGTCTTCCTGAACCCCCTAATTCTGTCCTATAGCAGGCTTCACCTTGACTTGTTCAAAGGCCATAATTTAGGTGGATTTTCTGACATAAGCTGAAATCAAAATAACACACAGGGCTTGACAAAACCACCTTCCAATTGCGCTACATTTAAGGAAAAGTCAAATGCATGGATGTATATTACATTCAATGTCACTCAGACTCTATAAAAGACTTACTAAATTCAAAATCGATAAGATGCATGAAAAAACAATACAAGTTGTAAGTAAGTGCAGCTAAACTATGTTCATTTGCAAGTCTGACCCGTATCTATACCATAGTATCAAAAGCTAATTTAAACAAAACAAATATGATTCTGTTCCTATCACCTAGTTTTCACAGTTTTTTTTTCAGGCTTTATATCCACTGTCCTTACTCAAGATTGTGATGAGGCACTTATTTAAATAAAGGGTGTTGGGAGTTTGGAACAAGATGATCAGTCATATTATTGAAAACAATACCCTGTATTCTTAGATTCTCAGATCACGTGACTACAAGCAAGCTAACTTGCTAGATGGGCAAAATGCCCCACTCATGTTTGCAACATGGAGGTCAGTGATAGTGGCAGGAAAAGGAGCTAAAGAAATAGTCAGAAAAGCAGCAAAAAAGCTACAATTTGTTCTTGTTTACATATATAAATGAGTGAACTATGGATGATATAAAATTATACAAGTATAAAGTCCCGATAGGTGTGCTTCTATCCCCATGGTTTTCCAGCCAATGACTATGTTTCATCTGGAAGAACTATTCGGACTTTCAAAATAAAATCTCTCCTAAGTGGAGATACGCTTTGGCATTAAGTTGTGGTCAAAAAGATCAAATCACTTTGTTTAATTTTTAGCAGCAGATCTTCTAACAGAAGGAAGTAAAACGGCAAGCCTGATCTGCACCATTAAGATTTTGAGTTTAGTGCAAAGAGGACACGCTGTTCCTGGAGTGACAGTCAGCAGTAAGGGATCCAGTCAAGGGGAACCGAATTTAAGTCTCTTATATAAAAGTGCTGGGAGTTCAATTGCATTAGGGCTCTTGGTGGGCCTGAGCTTTAATCTAATTAGACACAGCTAAAAAAAAAGCCTCTAGTCCTGAAAATCTGTTTTTCCTAGCAGATACAGGTTAGGACTCTGAACGGTTCGGCACTGCTCCTCTGCTCTCCCAGCTAATGCCGAGCAGAGAGGCAGGACTCAGCCGAGACACACCGACGACGACTCTGCAGCAGGGATGCGAGAGCACATGTTAATCGAATGATATAAATGTCAGCTTAATACAAACGCGAGGCAAGACAGATCTGAAGGGCTCTATAATTGTTAGGTAATTCCACAAGCAAGGCTGTAGCCCATTTCACTAATTCCTGTTAGTATAACCCAAACTCGCAAATGAAGTGCTTCTTGTTAAAACCCTGGAACTACTTTCTCTCCATATGCACCCTGGTCTCTCAGTAGATGTATCTCCATTTTATAGATTCACAGTCTTTTATCTGCCCAGCTCTGACAGACCAGGAGGTTAGCTTTGCATTAAAGTGTAGGTACTTTCTGTAAAAAAGCTACTGCTCCTCTCTGAAAACACACGGCACAGGGCTCCGTTCCTGTGTCTTCAGAAACAGAACAGCTCTTTCCCTTCTGTCAGTTTTGCTGTCTGATCAGTAGAAACTTTATATGCCACTCTGATCTTACTTTCATCTATAGCAGAGTTGTGAGCAAAGATGTTAATATTTTTTCTGTTTTGATATCCTTGACACTAACAAAGTCCGGGGATGTGCTCTATGTGAGCCATACAATTATATGCACCAATAATGATCTCCTGTTTTTCCTACAACAGAAAGACTGTTTTTCCACAGATTTGTCAGAGGAACTGTACCGACGCTTACGTGGGGTCAATAGCTGAGTCATTTTGTTTGAATTGAATTCTGCCACAGCTGTGCAATGTCCCTATTACCATTGCAGAACCCTCAACTGCACATCAAAACTTACATTCTCAACTAAGTCACATCATCCCAGGATCTGTATTGTAGTTCAGCAGAGAAAATACACCTGGTAGCATTACCTTAATGGATTACCAGCAACCACAAAACAATCGTCACAACTTTTACACTCATGGATATCGGTGCTTTTTCAACATGTAGGGTTGTTCTTCTTGACATCAAGATGCTTTTTACAAACAAACATATAAAACAAAATCGGGACACGCCCCTACCATTTACAGATATTAACACCCCATGAGCCATAACTAAACTGCAAAAAACTGAACTAGATCGTGTATGTGCTTCTACAGCAGAGAAAATCTGACACTTAAACACTAGGGACACATGCTACAGGCACGGTCAGAAGGGGACTGGTATTGAGAGACTGCTTCAACAGGGACATAAAGAGTAAGTCAGAAAGGTGAGCTGAAGGAAGCCCACTCCTCTGTAACCTTTCTCAATGAGTCAGAGCAGGAGTGTGGCAGGCAGGACGACTCAAGAGAGAGGGTGAGAGCAGAGGAGTTCTGGGCTAATTGTCGAGCACACCCATCAGTGTGCACGAGTACCTGATGACAGTTTTGAGTGAGCGCTGAAGTGAGTGACCGGTTGTGAGAGAGCGACCGAGTGCACAACCAGCTGACGGTGTCAGCGACCGAGGAGGCTGCAGCGTGGAGGTTTGTAAGAACATGCAAGAGAGGGGGCTCTTCTGGTGCTGCACAGCAGCATCTCAGCGGGAGCTGTCCTGTGGAGTGGGCCCTTTGCATTTCAAAGGGTGGCTCTGTCTTAGCAGCCAGGGAATTGTGCTTTTGCACTAAAAACAGCCAGGCCTCAGATCCAATTCCTCCAGAATGGATAATGTTGTTATTTGACATTTGTCTGCACAGGGCTGCAGCAGAGTGCATTTTTTCCCCGACAAGACTGGTGCAAACTCTTGCCGCTGTGAGCGGAGCGTGCTGAGGCCGTAAAGGTAATGAGGGCTTTGTTCCCTTTGTCAGAAAAGGCTCCCTGTATCACTCTGAGTGCGGGTCTGTAATGGGAATTTCTTAAAGGGAAATAGGTGTCTTCCCGGCAAAGCAACTACCCATGGTGAGTCCGAGCTAAAAAAAAACAGAGAAGCAACTTGTTTTGCACACTTAATTTAAGAGAAGGTGGGTGCACGTATTTAGTCTTGCCTAAAGGTAGCGTAAAAGGCTCATTCTCTGATTTGTCACCGCAGCCCAGTGTTTCGCCAGACAAAGCTAGAGCCCACTCCACTGGACGATGGGCGGGTGGTCGTTTCTCCTCTCTACAGAATCCTCAGGACCGGAAAAGAACAAGAAGTACGAAGCAAAGCCCGTTCGCTCTGTGTCAGGCCGTTTCGGGCCGCGGGCGGGGCCCGGCGACTCCCGGGTCGCCGTTTAAGGAGCGAACACGAGGAGGGTCTCGGGCGGGTTCCACGCAGGTACTCACAGCGGTCGTTGCGGTCCTCTGGGCTGGAGGAGGCCTCGCGGTCCGAAAGGAGGCCAGAGACGGCAAAGATCTTCTTGCCAGCCTCCTCGGCGGCCTTTAGGGACCCCGGCGAGCTGGTGGGGATCTGTGCGCCCCCGTAGTCGTATTCCTTGCCCTCGGCGTCTGAGTAGCGCAGGTGGGGCGAGGCGTCGGCCTCCAGGCAGCCCTTCAGTCTCTTGGCGGGGGTGAAAGCGGACTGGTAGCCGCTGCCATCGCGGTCCTCGGGGGCCGAGGCGAAGGGGCGGAAGGCGCCCACTCCGCTGTGGTTCAGCATGCTGATGGGAGAGCAGTCCAGGTTGGGGGGGGCAAACTGGGGGTGCAGGTGGAGGAGGGAGGGGGGGAAGTCGCGATTGGGGAAGCCCCCCGGGACCGCGCCCTGGCGGTGGTACATGGAGGCGAAGGTGTAGGAGCCGTTGGTGAAGGGGATGTGGACGTCCTTGTCCACGGAGACCGGAACCCCGAAGGGGCGCGGCTGCTGGCAGGGGATGGAGGCGTCGCGGCTGGCTTCCGCGGTCGAGGCCAGCACCATCAGGGCCGGAGAGGCCAGGGGGTTGGGGAGGTAGGAGGAGCTCTCCATCTTGAAGGCGGCTCGGTGTAAGTCCATCTGGAGTCGTGTGCAGTGGGCCCAGGAGGGCTGCTGGGGGAGTACGGGGAGGCACGGGCGGGTGAGGGTGGGGTGGGGAGGAGGGGGGTGGCCCCCGCGCCGGGGGGGGGGGGTTTTTTGGGGGGGGGGGTCAGAGAGACAGTCAGCAATCTGCACTGGTTCAGAAGGCGCCTATGTCACTGCAAAGTCATTCTCGGAAGGTCACCTCCTGCAAAGAAGAAGAAACGAACGTGAAGAAAGCTCCGGAAGGCACTAAACAGAACAGTCATACAACAGAAGTTAGCCGTTAAATATCGATCCTTGTTTTCTATCTCCACGCTTTTGGTCCTACATGGATCATCAGCTGTGTATTGCCCATCTCGAGCAAAGAGACCCCATCCAGGCCCGCAGATAACAGCCGCATGCTCGTATCGCTCATCTTCCAAGCATCCCCGCGGCCCAGTGAGTGTGGGCCAGCTCGTGCACAAGTTCTCGTGACCTTAATGGGATTGCAGAGAGGATCCGATAAAGGTAAAATATCGGACTGTCATCTTTACGGGAAAGCTTTAGAAGACAGTCTGTAAATGAATGAATTAACTCCTCCTCCCCTCTGGCCCACAACCAGAAGAAGAAGAGGTTCTTGTGCTTTCATTCCAGTTTAAATATTTCACTGCTTTCTCCTCTAGGTCACTCTTTTAACCTGTGGACTCCTGGTAGCAGCCTTCATAATTGAATCAGCAATTAGGCATGGCGAACAGCCCCTAATGAAAAGTCATTTTTCTGCAAACAGGGCACTTTTCTCAAAACACTACACTTTGTAAAAAGTAACAATTTACCATTTACAAAAATGTTTTTTTTGCCAGTCTAGTAATATAAACAAACCGTTCTCCTAAATTGTTCTTCATGATTAAATAATAAAAAACACTGTTCACAGGAGCAGAGATAATTCCTCTCTTACTGCTAGAAAACTGTACAAAATACCCTTTGTGACATCAAAGAAACTCAAGAGGAATTTCCTTTGAAATTTTAAAGGGATCAGCTGTCCAGAATACTCATTTAAATTGATTTCAAACCTGACATGCACATTAACACACTGTGGACATTCGCTATAAATCACAAAGCCTTTACGTTATTACATAGGTAGCAATGGAATGTGCAGTTGTATACAGCCTCGTGCTACAGAATGCAGCTTTGCATTATGACTGATGACACACATTACTGAGCTCTTTTTATATTTATGCCTGAAAATAAAAAAGTCACAATAATAAAAGGTGTCTATATCATTTATACTGTGTATTTCTTCTGTATCAGTTCCATTTTTTTTCTGAATAACCTTAAAAAATGAGTCAGGCAGGTGCTGATAGCAAGGTAATACAGTGATAAGTGCCCGGATATTTCAATTTTATTATCATTACCATCAACACAGCGAGTCAATGTGAAGCTGACAATCCAATAAAATGACACACGATATCCCCCTTATGGTTGCTCAAAACCATAAGTAGGCTGAGTGTTCTACAGATGTGCTAATCATTTCTTCCCTCTTCAAAGGCTGTGCCCAGCTCTGTATCAACAAGAACAAATCTTCTGCACTACAGCGATCGAACAGAGACGCGTGCCTAGCTGTCCGCAAGCCTGAGGAACAGTGACAGCCAGGTTTCTCATTTGATGGAGAGAGCGCACTGGTGTCTTCCATCAGCAGACTACACAGAAGGGAGACCGGAGCAGCTCAGGATTGGAAGACCCCCAGTAATTAACCTTGGTGTACATTTTAGCAGCTTGCTCATGTTTTAAGGATAAATCACAGCTTGATAAGAGTAGGGGAAAGGATAATAAATGATTTTTAACAGGATGACATAAGTATTGTTTTAATGCCTTGCCATCCAGTTTACTAATTCAAAATACATCAGCTAGGCTACGAAATCCTTTACCTGTAGTCATTTTAGCAAGTCACACAAGATTACGCATTTATTTTTCTTAATTTATGATGGACACCAGCTTTCCTATTTGCAAATGACACTTAATGAGCAACCTTTTGTTTTTCATAGCAATTCTAAGGCACTAAATGTACCTTCTATTTATTATTAAATTATTGTCTACAGAACTCTATTTAAAAAAATAAAGCTGTATAATTCAGTTGTTGTTGGGTTTTTTTTTTTTGGGGGGGTGGGGTTGTGTGTCTTCCAATCTAAATTACTGCTTGTTTTGTCCGTTTATTTTGCTGGTGGTGGTAGTCTGGAAAACGCTGTGAAACACAGTCATTTAAAAGCTGGTGTGTTAAACACCAGCTTTTAAATGGGGGAGCCTCTTGGAACAACAAATCTGCATTAAGTAGTATGAAACTTCTGTATAAAATCGACGTAAACAAACATGGAAAACTTAAATTCCACCAGATAGCTTCTATTGTTAGGGTGGAAGAAGTGTATGAGCCCTGTAACTGTCAAATGTACGGACTGTTGACAGCCGTGAAGTAAGGGTTAAGTACCACATTCACATTTTATTACAAGAACAGGCCAGACACTGTCATTTGATCCCCACCAAACACAAATCACACACAGACATTAGGAGACAGAGCTTCAAAACAGAGACAGCTTTCACCACACCGCAGTAATACTAATTATTATTACTACTCCTCATTGTACTGCCGTTATTACTTTAATTATAGAAAATAGCAACTTTTTGTCTGTCGCATAGCAGGACTTGTCTTAATGACAGCAGTTTAAAAATCGATGCCGCATAAACCAATTAGCCTTCCTTGTACAATACGCTTTTGCGGGACCTAAAAAGTATTTAAAAAAATAGGGACTTGCAATTGTCGCAATGACACTGATCTCTTTAAAACCGCTTAAAACTGATTTATTCTGTCATTACCTGCCCAGAGATGGGGTCTTTTAGGCGAATGGTTATGCACTTTAGCGTGACATCTTACTGTTGTTGCTCAGCTGAATATACAAAAATGATATCAAACGTTTTCCAGTATTAAACCTGTAAATTAAAATGTCTGCATTCTCGAAACAATTTGAGAACCACCTCTGCCCTACAGCAGACAAGTTACTCTGTATTCACAGCAGCTTGTGTTAGATGTAGGCCAGCGAAGAGTCGATACTATTATAAATACAGTAATCTGCCTTTGGCAGCATAGCAGGATACGACGACAAAGTTCAGATTTCCTTCTGAATTAGTATCAGGTACGGCTCAATGAATGAAATCTACTACCAAATGTGCTATTTAATAATGCTTTACAGCCGCACATTAAAAACCCAGAGTATCTCTGAAAACACCGAGACGTGATTCAATTTCAAGAGCTTCAACACAGCAAAGGACAATGATACTTGCGAATACTAACAGAATCAATAACGCCAGTCCACATGATTCTGTACGGAAGGTATCTGCATGTCTCATCTGTGTGGTAGCATGACAAATAATAGAAACAATACACTGACCACCATGTAAAAGCATTTTAAAAAAATGTTGGATTCTAGATTAAAAGTAGAATATGAGCATGCAGCCCTTGGAATATAATAAGGGGCTATTGTTTGCCTTGTTTACTTTCAATTTTTTTAAATATAAATATTTAAATCTTTTTTAATCTTGCAACTGGATCTAGCCCTGGTGATCTGCTGTACATAGGACTGCTGAGGATGATAGCTGTTTTCAAAATCTTTAGCATAAGCATATTGTTGCTATCAGAGTGCACATAAATTCAGAATATTTTCCAAATTTATTTTGTTTGGAGCGGCAGAGACTGAGCAATAATACATTGTCCTGTTATATCATTTTGAGGTTAGAGGCACCCCCCCAAAAAAAAAATTATACTTTTCTTGACCTCCCCTGACCATTAATCTAGTGTCTTATCTCGTCTGTTTCATCTCAACCACCTGTTCTAACAAAATCTTCCAATCGAGCCCTGTTTATTAACAAGGTGTCTGGTTAACTGCACTGCTGTCCAGCCGTGATCCAAAACGGCATTTCTCACCTGACTTCAATACACATATCGGCTCCTAAAACCATTTTTCTGTTAGGAGGCAAAGTGAAATTGCACCCTTTATTCCTTGATCTTTTAGTCAGCAGTCTCAGCGTTTTGAAAAGCTGTTTCCTTAGTTTACCAATTGCACCATTGAAGTCCTGCTGGCTAACCACTGGATCTTTAGGAATAGATAATACGCACAATGGGAGAGGCAGCCTGCCTTTAAGCTATTGACAACAACTTGTTGGCCAGCTAGACTTATAAAACACCACAGACCAATTCAGCTACCAAGGCTGTCTACTAATTATGGTAAAAGAGTCTTTGCATATTCCACTGCTTATCCAACTAAGGTTTTAAAAAAAAGCGGTTTAGCAGAAATCCTGCCTTTTCTGTTTGCACATGGAAATGAGGAACACAGTTTTAGCCTTGCTGCCCTAACGTGAAACTATACTTCTTTTATCCTGTCTTGATTTCTAAAAATGACGTAATCAAATATATGTACAGTACAAACACGCTAACTGTGAAACAACAGGAGGCATTTTGATTACCTGGAATTTGGCTTAAGTGGTGATGTCATTGCACAACCAAACAGTGAAATCACCTTTTGCATTTATGACAAGGGCACCCCTTTCACTCCTGGGCTATAACTCCCCAGAAAGATCAGAAGCGACATCGTGGCCAACTGACAGAAATCAATTACTCACAACCATTCAGCTCATGCCTTTTTGGCCGCGGTGAGAAAAGTACCTAAACTTATATATTATTTTTTTGCGCATTAAAACAGCTGGACCAAAACTACCCAAGAGTGCATTTGTGCAAAACCTTAATTTATCCGCTTCCCTTCTATTAATCTGTGGATTGCCCACAACATTGACTTTAATGCTGGTAATTCATGCACCCATGCAGTGTCAAATATTCATTAAAAAAATATTTGTTTTAAAACAAAACCCTGCCAGTACAGTAAGTAACAGATAAAAATCCAGTTAGGAAAAACAAATACATTTAAGTTTAAGCAAAGAAAAAAATCAATTGTTAATTAATTAGAAAATAAACAGGGTCCTTTTAAATATAATGTTTATATTATGCCACATGTTTTTTTTTTACAAATAGCTAAAGGCTGAA